ATGGTTCAGTGGCAGAGCCCTGTCTAGAATGCCCCAATGCAAGGGTTGTAACGTGGTTCAGTGGTAGAGCACTTGCTCAGCAGGTATAAAGCTCTGCATTCTGTTCACTGCACCACAAAAAAATAATTTTTAAATATAAGCCAGTGTTAGGGAGATGACTTTCTAGGTAATGTGTTTATTTCACATTCAGACCTGAGTTCGATTCCCCAGCACCCATGTAAAACCATGTGCAGGGGAACAGATCTGTAACCCCAGCCCAGGATTAGCGGGTATAGAGAGAAGCAGATCCCAGGGGCTCACTGAAACTAGGAGCTGCACGTCAGTGAGAGACCCGATCTCGAAAGTGCAAGTGAAGAGCCCTGAGGTACGAGGGACGAATACTGGTGCAGACTTCCAGCCTCCTCGCCAGTGGTTCGTTTTTTGGTTCTCTCTCTCTCTCTCTCTCTCTCTCTCTCTCTCTCTCTCTCTCTCTCTCTGTCTTTTCCAAGGCAGGATTTCTTTGGCTGTCCTGAAACTTGCTCTGTAGACCAGGCTGGCCTTGAACTCAGAGACATCCACCTCCTGTGCCTCCCCAGTGCTGGGATTATAGGCGCGCGCCACCACCTCCCAACCGGTACCTTACTTTTATGGCAGGGTCTCCCACTAACCAGGAGCTTGTCAATTTGGCTAGACTGTCTGGCCAGGACCAGGAACACTTCTGTCTCTGTGTCCCCAGTGCTGGCAGTACAAGCTTGTGCTGACCACACCCAATTTTTTACCTGGATACTGGGAATCCAAAATTGAATCCTCATGTTTGTATAGCCTGCATTTTACCAACTGAACCATCTCCCTAGTCCTATAGATGTAGCCTTGAACTCATGAGTCTCCTGCCTCCACCTCTCCAGCATCAGCCTGCTAGAATATGCTGCCACAACGGGCTTGAGGCTTTCTTTTAAAGGCTGTACAGAAGTCAAGGTCTGACTGTCAGCAGTAGGTCACCAGAGACGGGCTTTGAAGGTCCTACCCCCCCCCCCCCCATGTTCTAGCAGTGGTATCTCTGCTTCTGGGTTTGTCACCACGGCAACAGGCTCTGTTATTACTCCATGCGGCTATGCCTTGCCCAGCACGATGGACCGAGTTCTCTCTGAAGCTATAAGTCTGAAGCATTTCTCCCATAAACTGTCTCCGAATACTAAGGGTGTTCGGTACTTTGGTCATCTTAGGAGGTGTAGGTGGTGCCTTCAGGCCAGTCCCAAATGCGTGATTGATACCTCCGGACTTTTTGTTCCGAAAGAAAGGGGTGTCCAGGGAGGAAGCCCCAAAAGTCAGGCTCTAATTCATCCTCTATCTGTACCAACCTCAATGCCTCTTGATGTCACCAGAAAGAAAAATGGCACAGAACTCATGAAGAGGAGAGAGCTGTCGTCCCAAAAGAGAAAAGACTTCCTGCGTTCTCCAGCCCCACCCCCCTTCTTGCTTTTTATCGAAGGAGCTTCCTCATCAAAGCAAACACTCCACTCCTGACAGAGGACCCAGGTCAGAGCTGAACCACCTGCTTACAGGACGCTCCTTTAGGGCGCAAGACAGCCCAGTATTTATATAGCTCCTACAGGCGCGGAGTGCATGGCCGTGCGTCGTGGTGCACACCTTTAACCCCAGCACTTCGAGATAGAAACGGGATCTCTGTGAGCTGGAGGCCAGACTGGTCTACACAGTCAGGACTACATAGAGAGAGCCTGTCTTAAAACGAAAAGGTTCTGTGGGTAGTTCTTCTGGGTAACTTGGAGTCAAGCATTAGATCTCAAGGTACAGGCAGAGACTCAGTGGCCAGAGTGGCAGTTCTCAGACTGGCCATGTCCTCACCGTCACCTGGGTAGCTTTTGGCAACAGATTTAGGAAGCCCATCCGCAAAATGGCTCAATAGATCCATGGTGGGCCCAGGAATATGCATTTTCTCGCAGATTCCCAGGATCTCCTGAAGCAGCCAGGCTCCGACCCTGACTCTGGGTTTCCATGCCAACTGCACAGGGAAATGGTGGTGAGCATGTGGTTTGAACCCGCGGCCTCTGAGCGCCCTCTCGTGGTACAATAGGGCTTCTGCAGCTCTTGTGAGTTGACGCCTCTGTGTAACTGTATGCTAGAAGCAGCAACCTGGGGGAAATGGGAGGACTCTTCACTAAGGATCTGGGCTTTCTGTAGGCACCAGACTTTGGATACCGGAAGGGGTGACGTTATAGGGCCCCCAGAACCCTCACTTTCCCTTTATTGCACCTATTCACGACCCTAAGAATCTCCAGCGCTGATGTCCTTATCTGAGACAGCTGTGAGACAGGATAAAGATAGGTGTCAGGCAAAGACATACATCCAGAAAATCTGCATGGCCGGGCGGTGGTGGCGCACGCCTTTAATCCCAGCACTCGGGAGGCGGAGGCAGGCGGATCTCTGTGAGTTCGAGGCCAGCCTGGTCTACAAGAGCTAGTTCCAGGACAGGCACCAAAAGCTACGGAGAAACCCTGTCTCGAAAAATCAAAAAAAAAAAAAAAGAAAAGAAAAAAGAAAAAAAGAAAAAAAGAAAATCTGCATGGATCACTCCACCCCGAGCTTCCTCTTCCTAAATTCGGCTCTCTAGAATTCTATTAGCCAGCAGCCCTGCTAGAGCCAGGTGGCCTTTTGTTTTGAAGTTTTCTACTAGGGTTTTTGTTTCCTTGTTTCTTCTTTCACTGTATTTTTTGGGGGTGGAGTGGGTGTGGAATGGGGCGGGATGAGTGTGTGTGTGTGTGTGTGTGTGTGTGTGTGTGTGTTTGGACATGCTTCTGCCATGGCTCACGTTTGTAGGTCAGAGTTCAGCTGGAATAAAACTCAGGTTCTATCCTTGCTCACAAGCTCCTCCATGCCTTAGGCCCATCGAGAGCTGGGTCTTGTTTTGCAGCCCCAGCTCACCTGGAACTTCTGCTCCCCCTGCTTTCGCTTCCTGAGTACTCAGATTACAGATGGGCACCACTACATGAGGCTAAATGGTCTTTTGGTGACACTGCTTCCCCCGATGCCCAGCTTTGATCCTTGCACAGAAGGGACCAGGAATGACACGCTGGTAGTCGTATGCTTGACTTGTTGCTTTTGCTTTGCGCTGGCTGGGGCCTCTCAGCTGATGCTTCTCCCCTCAGGCATTTCCCTGACACAGGCCTCTGTCGCCTCTGTCGTCCACAAGCTTCTGCCTTGGGGGCCTTTTCCAGTCAGCAGCTCCGGAAGTCTAACACACAGATCTTATCTTTATCTAGGGAGTACGTCACCTGTCCTTTCACCCAGGAACGCACCTGCACCCAAGAACGCAGCCTGGAGGAATCCGCATTGCTGCAGCGTACGCTGTGATTGCTTTTCCCGCCGCCAGGGGGCAGCCGTGCCCCACCCACCTACGTCACTTGGGGCTCCCTGTAGGTTGCACCTGCTTCAGCGCACGGACTTTGAGTCTGACACCCTCTCCCCCCACCCCCGGGCAACCTCAGGGCCTCCACTTCACAGCTCCTTCTGCTTTTCTTTACTCGACCCTCGGCTCCCTCCAGAGACCTTATGGTTCTGGAAGGTTCCTCACCAAGTGCATCTAGGGTCTGGTTTAGCCAAGGCAAAAGAGTTATCCGTTGTAACCATTCAACAACCGCCAATCAGAACTACACTGTTAGCTGCACATGGTGATAGGCGCTGGGGACGCTGTGGGATACACCCCACTCGCTCTGCTGGGAGCTGACTCTAAGAGGCTCTGCTTTCCCTCCACCTGCTCACACACTTTCCCCTAGCCAGGTAGGACCCCAAAGACCTAGCCCCAGGGGCTACTGATCTTGGATGGTGCACTAGGGCTGGAAAAGTTGGGGAGGAAGACTGCCCGATCCTGAAGGCAGCAGCAGAAAGCAGCAACATGGATGAACCAAAGCCCCTGTACCGTCTTCAGCAAAACTGCCTCTGGGTTTGGGGTCTCCAGACTCCAGTGACCTGGATTCCAGGCTGTCGGCTTTTCAGAAGAGGTACCTCCAACGCCGGAAGAGAGCTGCTACTTCATCATGAGCGATGTACCCATCCTCGTGTTGCACCCCTAAAAGTGCCCGTTTATGTAGTCGTTGTATCAAGGTGCAGTCAGAGTTCTCTCTATGGAGAGCGTCACTTCTAAACAGGGTCATCAGGGAGCCCTCCTGGGTAATGTGATATCTGAAGTGATCTGTCCTGGGGGAGGGCATTCCAGGCAGCTGGAACAGCATGTACAAAGACCCTGAGGTAGGAGAAAGCATTATGTCTTAGGACCTAGAGGATTAAAGTCACTAAAAGACTCAGAAGGGATTCTGGGAAATGAGGCAGGGATCGGAGGAGATACCATGTGTGGACCACAATGACGAAAACTTTCAGTGACCATAGAGATGTCCTGTATCTATAATGAGCAATGTGGCACCACTGGCCACGTGAAGCACTTGAGCCCACGTGGATGGGACTGCCAAAATAATGCAAATGTTTCGCTTTATTTCATTTAGATTCTATGTAAATTAAGTGGCTCCTAGGTGGCCAGAGGTGACACTATTGGACAAAGAGGGTCCAGATCTCTGTAAAATATTTGGCTTGGAGCTGTGGAGATATACCAAGCTTAGCTAGCCTGTGAAGAGAGGAGTGGCACTGCCAGGTGACAGACAAGGCTGCCAAGGCATTCCCCGTGGGCCACCATGCCCATTCCTGGCAGGGAAATGCAGACCAAGCTAAAACCCCAAGCTGTGCTGCAGGACTTTGCTCTGGGGTCCCGGTAGAGACTGGGACAAGACTTGGAAACGGGGGCTGAGGACAAATGTGAGCTTTATCAGGGCCCATGGGGCAGAAGGGCTCAATAAAAGTGGCAAGGTTCCGGGTGAATTGGAGTGTGGAGGGGCATGAGACTCCACATAGGGCTGTGGGATGGAGTGAGAAGGAGCCAGGGATGTGTGTCAGCCATGATGGCAAGGCATGCCACTCAGCCCAGTCCACACACACACCATTGTTCAGACCACAGAGACAACAGCCAAAAGGTGCTTCATTTTGTTTCACTGGAGGATCCCGGGGTCACACGGCGCACAAGGACAGGTACCTATAACTATGCAGAAAGAGGTGACACGTGGGGCCCTCCCCAGCCACAGGTTACTCAGGAATTCCACCAGACCCCAAGTCCATCAGCCCACATGAAGAGAGGCTTCCTCTCCAGTCACAGGCCACTCTGGCCTGCTTCTCCATCCGCCCCTTCATCATCACTGGTCCTGGGAAGCAAGGAGACAGCTGCTTCTGAGTACAAAGAGGTACCCACAGCCCTTGCAGTTTCTGTATGTCCCTGTTACAGGGTTGGACTATCCAGTTTGGGCTGTGAGGGCAGGTCAGAACTTCTCTTACATCCTCGAGGGTCCAGGCACCACGAACTGGTCACTTCCTAGGGATAGAAACTTGGACACACACATACACACACACACACACACACGCACACAAACAAGAGGGTGAAAAGTGCTGTGCAAGGGAAGGCATTATCTACACAGCGTAACACAGAACTGAGCAGCCAGGCTTTGGCACATAGCACTACAGGAAAACACAGCTGAAGTGGTTGCTCTCAGGGATAGCAGTGGGCTGCAGCCTGGCCAGGGTCAGCCAGGATTATGGAGGCGGATACCAGGATGGGGGAGAGCAACTGCTTCCTACAATAGGGGCACTTGACCCTTTAAGGAGACCTGGGATATTTACTGCACATGGTGGTTGGGGGGATGGACAAGGGACTCCATTGTCATATTAAGTTAAGAGTTACAAGGGCAAACAGCTGAGGAGTGGCAAGGGACAGCTGGTGCGATTGAGTTGGGGGTGCCACAGTGGGAGGGGCAGGGCTTGCCCAGAGAAGCCAGAAATCTGGATTTCCTGTGAGTCTTTCAAAATCAGAACACATTGTCAGAGTGTTACCAGTTCAACCTTTAGACAAGGGCTGGTGGGGGAGCCACCTGCAGAGCCTCGGATGGGTAGGCTAATACCACCACCTCTCCTCCTCCTCCTCTCCCTCCCCTCTCTTCCTTTCCTCATCCCCCACCAGCCTTCCTCTCCCTCCTCTCCTTCCTCCCATTTCTATTCCTCCTCCTCCCAGCCCCCTCAGACTTACACTTCTGGAGTACCTTCCCTTCAACACACACACACACACACACACACACACACACACACACACACGGCCCTTAGCCCTTCCAAACTCAGCTAATGCCTATAATGCCCAACACTCTCTTGTTTCACCCCCAGGCCCCGTCAGGCCAGAGGTGGTTCACAGTCATCCCAGCTGTTTGGCCAGAAGCAGGTTCCTGGAAGAATGGGCAGGTAGGGGAGCCAGGCACCCACACACACTCACGCTGGGGCTCCGAATGTAGAGCAGAGCCCCTCCAGAGTCTTCCAGGACTGCATCTCCTCTGCACCCACTGGCCACTGCATCCAAGTGTCTTGTCTCTTTTTTCTTTGTCGTATCAAGGCTTCGGCCATCACGATCGTTCACACCATCTGTTCATGGAACTAAGAGGGAAGGCTGGGCACCGGTCATAACCAGCCAGGGACGCAGCAGAACACAAAGCAAATGCACGCGGTTAAGCGAGAGGGGGAAGCAGGGAGGAGAGAGAATAGTAGGAGGGGAAGGGGGTCCACACAGAAGAGACAGGGCTCGTAGTGGTTATCTGTGGCACTAACGGCATTTGGGTGCCCGCCTTGGGCCCCGACGAGCTTTCTTCCCGCGTGTAGACTTGGGAACAGCAGCTGGCTGTCCCTTGGCTTCGCCAGCCCTGGCACGGGCCCCGGCGCCTGCAGACCCCTTCTTCTTCTTGTTCCCCACGTGGTCTTCGGGTGCAGCCCCGCTCCCGGCTTTCTTCTCTGGAGTGACGCCCCGACCACGACCTCGGCCACCCCTGCGGGTTTTACGTGCCCTGGATGCGGTGGAGACCGCGGTGGCGCCAGCAGGAGCCAGGCTTTTGGAGCCGGTACGCGCTCTCTTGGCGCGAGGCTTCTTGGATACGCTGTCACCAGGTTCTGACTCTTCAGAACTGTCAGTTTCGTCGGAATCTCCCTCTGATTCTGTGTCTGAATCCTCGTCCGATTCCTCGTTGGATTCTAGATTCTCCTGAGAGGCCAGGAAAGCCAGGACATCGGATAAGCCACTTTGGCTGTGATCACACTTCCTGCCACCACCGCCACCACCGCCCCACCTGCTGGCTTCTTCCTCCTTCACAGCTTCCACCATATCCTGCGCAGCCAGGAGTGCCACCAGCTCCAAGAGGCCACCCTGGTGGCCCTCAGCGGTCCAGCCTCTGAGGAGACCAAGACCAGACTTCTTTCCCTTAGGGCAGTTCTCTGCTTCGGCCAAGGTAGAAATACATTCCAGAAGATTCCCATCTTCCTCCGCCTTCCTCAGGACCATGGCGTCCACCTGGCGGCCTGCTTCCTCTACCTTCACTCTGGGCCCGGAGGTGTCCTTGGACATGACGGACAGGACTTGAGGAAGGACATCTTTTTTGTCTTTCTTATCGCCCCAGCCTAGGGTCTCGATCACAGAAGCGATTTTTAGCATTTCCTCTCTGGCAGAGGGGTCAGCGGGGTCGGTATAAGCCACGATAGCCACAAACTCGGGGTTGTCTACCCCTTCTTTTCCTCGCTCTCCATTTTCCAGGGACTCGCCGTCGGAATCATCATCATCGTCGTCGTCATCATCTTCTTCCTCTTCTTCGTCTTCTTCATCTTCATCTTCCTCCTCCCCCTCGCTATCTACATCCACAACCGGGGTATCTCTTACAGCCAGGAGCGCAACTAAATCCGGGACTCCACTCTTTTCGTCTTTGATGTTTAGGCAGATGGACTCTGTCCCAGGAAGGTCTTTCTCGATCGCTTCCTTCTTAGCTTTGTCGGTGACAGTGACAAGTGCCAAAAACTCTCGGGGGCCATCTCCTTCGTCCTGGTCTCCCCGGAAGGCCCACTTCTTGGTGAGCTCTTTGGCGGCTGCTTGCAGCGTGGCATACAGGGCCCTCTGGTCCTCGTCTACGCTCAGGTCCTCTGCATAGATCTCCTCTATGACAATGCCCAGGCTGTCATCAGATGAGTCTTCGGACTCACTCCTGGCTCGGCGCCCTCTCCGGCCCCTCTTCTTGCCCTTCTGAGCCGTAAACGTGTGGGTTCTAGATCTGCGCTTGCCTCCCCGACGGCCCCGACGGCCGTTCCTGGCTGCCCCTTCGGAGGAAGCAGCCTTCTTGGCCTCCTTCCCCAACCCCTTGGCCTGGGCTTGGGCCTCCAATACCAGAGGGATAGCTATTTCTCTGAAGTCATCCATGGGCCGTTCATCGAGCAACAGGCGCCTCATCTGCCTAAGGACCCGCGCATCTTGCCCGCGGTCCTTACTCAGGATCTTCCAGGTACCATTATCTCCCCGGATATGGATGGGGATGGCAGAGTGATCGATATCTGCCCCAAACTCCACCAAGGCGGCCTGAGCCTTTTCCTTGGTCACTGCTCTCACAGTCCGAAGCCTGTAGTTGCCCAGGGGTTGCAAGTTCGGCCTCAGAGTGGCTTCGATGTCCGCCTGCTGCAGGCGCTCAGGGATGCCGGTGATCAGCAGGGCCCTGTGAACCTCCACTTCCAGCTCCTTGCACCAATCTTGCAGAAGGTTCATGGTCAAGGCGCTGCCCAGTAGAGAGGCTAATCTTGGGGCGGGAGGGAGCCCGAGGAAGGGGTGGACTGCAGAACACAGGCTTGGTCAATCTTACTCTGGAAGGACCACCCGCGGGGTTAGAGTTCAGGCTCGGGTTTTGGGGCTCCGGGCTCTAGCTACCTGCTGGCTAGCGGAACGCAATGATTTTCTCCCGGGGCAATCCGAGGGTCCGCAGGGGACTTACGTGTCCGATCTCCCGGCTGGCCAGAGCTGTTCCTCCCTTCCCTTTGTCCCTGACAGCCTGGGTGACGGGCCACCGCTGGTGGGATGCAGGAGGGTGACTATCAACGCACCTGGTGGGCGTGGGGGGTGGGAGCGGCAGCTCGCCTGCGCTCCCGCGAAGTCTGGAGCGAAGCGCGCACCCTGGTCTAGACGCTCAGCGGGGCCGCTGCAGTAAGGCAGCCTCAGACTGCGCCTGCGCGGATCCAGTCCCCTCCCCGCCCCCTCCTGCTAGTCACCGTCTCCATAGTAACACTGCAGGCAGCAGCTGGGGTCTCTGCTGTTGTGAACACAGCCTCTGCTCTTAAAGGGCCAGGTGGGAAGGAGTGCTTCGGGATCGAAGCTAAGAGCAAGGACAAAGTCACTGGGCCCTACTCACCACTGAAGAGGATCAGTCTCCCTGAAGGGGATAAAGATCGCCTTTGAAAGCGTAGATGCTTCCACAAGGGGTATTTACTTTGGTTTTGTTTTTTGAGGCAAGGTCTCCTGTAGACCAGGGTAGCCTTGAACTGGTCAAGTAGCCTTGGATGACCTTGAACTTCAAATTCTCCTGCTTCTGCCCTATCAACAAGTACTGAGATTACTGGCCTGTGTGACTTCTTGCCTGTGTTATTTTTTAATGCGTTTCTGGTGGGTGGAGGCCAGGGTTTTCATGTATTCTGCGCAGGCACTCTACCAACTGAACGGCTTCCCCACTTCCGCGGGACAAGTGCAGCTCTGCTTATAAAGCCCCAAACCAAATTGTTCTTTGGAGATGTCACCTCACACAGGCTCCATCTTTTTTTTTAATTTCATGGTACAGATGTCTCAATACCAACCAGGGATGCCAAGTTAGCAGTCCTTTATGAGCTGAGGGTCATCATTTAGGTTTCACTCATGAATGTTCTTATATTCTGTTTTGAAACAGGATCTCACTTTGTAGCCCAGGTTAGCCTCAAACTCACAGAGATCTGTCTGCCTCTGCCTCCTAAATACTGGGATTAAAATTGTATACCAACACACTTAGATCCTTTTTTTATTTTGTGTTTTTGTTTTGTTTTGTTTTGTTTTGAGACAGGGTATCACTATGTAGCCCAGGCTAGCCTCAAACTCCTGGCAACCCTCCTACCTTAGTCTCCCAAATGCTGGGATCATAGGTGTGAACTACTGTACTCAGATCTTCCAAAGTCTTTATTTTTAAATCTTTGTTGTATTTATAGATTGTGTGTGATGCATGTGTGTGCCACAGCACATGTATGGAGGTCAGGGTCCATCTTGCAGGAGGTCAGCTCCCTCGTCTCCCATGTGGAACCAGGATTTGAACTCTGGGAGACCCACTGATCCATCCCCATGGCCCAGTCCTAAAAAGGCTCTTGAGCCACCTGTCTCCTACTCTACAGTGTCTAGTAGACTGTTGGATTTGTACCCTATTCCTATCGCTTCCCAGCTGCCACTTTAAGAATCTTCTAGAACTTCTCCAGGCCTGTTTGCTCCTCTGTGAAATGGTGGCAGCATTTTTCCTCCTTGTAAGGGTTCTCCTAGGGACCCTAACCCACGAGAGGGCAGGGGGTGGGGCTGGCTGTGTGTGTTGTTTACCGAGGCTTGCCATTACATAAGAATTTGTTAAGTAATAAAGAAATAAACAGAACAAACCCCCTCAGGTTCCCACCCTCCTCTGGCTTTTGTTATTTGTTTTCTTCTGCAGAAAGAAGGTGGACGGCACAGTTCCCATGGCAACCGGGTGCTGCGCAAACCTGCTCACCTACTCTCTGTTTCCCCTGCTTTTCTTTCATCTTCCTGATCCTAAAATGGATGTCCTCAGACAGAAATGCCATGACAGCCTCAAACACAAAATACCTGCGTGATGACATTTCACAGTAGCCCTCGTCAGGAAATAAAAAGCAGAAAGGAATTTTACAAATAGATTAGATCCATCATCCACCCCTGAGAGACACACGGTTATTTGACTTGGGTTCTAAAAAAATTTATTTTTTAATTTTTTCACTGTGTGTGTGTGTGTGTGTGCGCGCGCGTGCGCGCGCGCGCGCGCGCGCGCAAATACCTACGTGCCTTGGCAAGCGTGTGAAGCTGAAAAGACACCTGGGGCAGTTCTGTTCTTCTACCACTTTTGTGGGACAAGGGTTAAGCTCAGGCTTGGTAGCAAGCGCCTTTACCCACTGAGCCATCTTGCCGTCCCTACACTGAGTTTTGTTCATTTGTTTTGAAACAGGCTTTCACTCTGTAGCCCAGGCTGTTCTTGAACTTTCAGCAATCCTCCTGCCTCAGCCAACCGCTGCTGGGATTGTAGGAAGTGACCCCCAACACCTGCTGTAGACTGTGTTATGTGCACGTGTCCTTACACAAAGCGACGAAAGGGCCATAGTACATTCTCTTGTTCTCTCTTGTTCGTAACGAGTCAGCAGCCACAGATGGCTTCCAGGAATCCATCCTGAGGAACTCATTAGGGACGTGTGCGTGTGAGCATAGGCACTGGAGTGATTTGTACCCACAGGGACAGATTTCCTGTCTGCCGAGGGTGGTTGTGGTACAGCTCACGTAAAAATGAACATACAACAGATACACTCTCCCAGCTCTGTATGTGATTCACGGCAGGAGAGATGGCCGAGCCGGTAAAGGACCTGCTGACAAGCCTGAGGACCCACAGTGAAAGAAAAGAACGTTTTTGCAAGCTTTCCTCTGACCCCCACATCCACATGGCAATCACTCATGCACTCTCACGGGCACACAATAACAGTAAATAAAATGAAAGGTTTTTAGTTAAAAAAAAAAAAGCCTTCAAGATGGCTCAGCAGATTAAGGCATTTGTCACCAAGCCTGATGACTTGAGTTCCACCCTCACGACCCAAAGAGTGGAAGGAGACCAGAACTCACTCTTACAAGCTGTCCTTTGAACCCCCCTCCACATTCCAAGGTACCCATGTATCCCCAAACACATACAAAATAAAGTAAATCAATGAATGAGGAAACAAATAACTGTAATGAATTTTTAAAAAATATTTATTTATTATGTATACAATATTCTATCTGTGTGTATGCCTGTAGGCCAGAAGAGGGCACCAGACCCCATTACAGATGGTTGTGAGCCACCATGTGGTTGCTGGGAATTGAACTCAGGATCTTTGGAAGAGCAGACAATGCTCTTAACTTCTGAGCCATCTCTCCAGCCCTGTAATGAATTTTTAATTAAAAATATAAAGTGTCCAAGTCATTGCTTACATGGTGATATGCATCTGTCAAACTGTCTATATACCAGCTTGAAAGTCTGTGATAGGAAGGGTAACATTGAGTCTGACTACATAGCCTGGCTGGCCTGGAATCCTCCTGCCTCTGCTTCCCTAGAGCTAGGACTGCAAGCACACATGGATACACTCATCCCAAGCCTTTGCAATTTCGTGTTGTTTTGTTTTGTTTAAGACACAGTGTAGCTATGTAGCCCCCGCTATCCTTGAACTCGGGATCCTTCTGCCTTGCTTCCCAAGTGTTGGGAATACAGGAGTATACCACCATGCCTGGGATCTTGGATTGCTTTTTGTTTTTCTTAAGTTTGGGTGGAGAATGAGGGACTCAGAAATTTCCAGAAAGTAAGGTGCAGTACTGAAGAAGCAGAAGCCACTTCATTTACAAAAATTCCAGAGCATTCGAGGACAGACTTGAATCCTGATCCCTCTAAGCAAAAGTGGGGACCAGCGAGGGGCATCCAGAGCCCCACAAATGTCCTTTCCAGCCCCCCCACACACACTCCCGCTAGAGTCGTTGTCCCTCTAGATCCAGGAAGAACCCGTGACTGCCCTAGCTGCAGCCCCCGAGGTTTCCATGGAAACAGCTGGAAGAATGGAGCATATAAAATGTTTTATGAAATTCTCTTCTGATTCCTGCTTTTGAGGAAGGTAAAAATAAATAACCTACGTATGAGGCCACGGGTCTGGCATGCTAGCACCTGGAACCCTGGTGCCCCAAGACTGTGGTGATGGAGGAATGAAGATGAGGAACTCGAGGGCAGTTTTGACTATCTAGTGCCAGTCCAGCCTGAGCTACATGAGGCTGGGATTTGGAGTAGGGGCGGTGCTGGAGAGAAGAGTTGGTCAACACAGCATTACCACAGAGGTATAATGTACTGACTTTGGTCCCACAGCACTGAGGTAAAAGCTAGCGAGACTGTACTCGCCTGTAACCTCAGTGCTGAGGCTCCCGGGGGCTCGCTAGACCAGCCAATCTGGCTGAAATAGTGAATTCCAGCTTTAACGAAAGACCATGCGTTAAAAAGTAAAGTAGAGGGCCAGTGAGTTGGCTCAATGGGTAGTGAGGCTTGCTGCCAAGCCTGAGGACCTGGTTCAATACCTGTATTCAATACCAATTCAATATCAGAAGACCACCTCAAAAAAGGAGAGAGCAGGGCTGGAGAGATGGCTCAGCGGTTAAAAAAAGCACTGACTCCTTTTCCAGAGGTCCTGAGTTCAATTCCCAGCACCCACATGGTGGCTCACAGCCATTTGTAATGAGATCTGGTGCCCTCTTCTTGCCTACAGGCATGATACTGTATAAATAAGTACTTTTTTTAAAAAAAAAAAAAAAAAGGAGAGAGCAAGCTCCTGTAAGCTGTCCCCTTTCCTCTACATTCATGGTGTAGCACACACACAAGCACACACACACACACAGATATAAATGTAATGATTTTCTTAATTTTTTTGTTTACTTGTTTTTTGTTGTTTTTGTTTGACTGGTTGATTGGTTTTTCAAGACAGGCTTTCACTGTATAACAGCTCTGGCTGTAATGGAACTAGCTCTGTAGACCAGGCTGGCCTCGAACTCACAGAGATCCGCCT